TTAGCCTATATGTTAGTAGAACACAATCTTCAATTAGTGAATTTAACTTAGTATTTGGCGATTTAGAAAGCTCGAAACTTGTAAAACGATTGTATGTCGATATGAACGTGTACGATATCGATCTATCCATTGACGCCCCTAAGTAGATTTATAAACAACGCATTCCGACAAATTACAATTAGTCTATACAACAAAGTAGTACAGATATTAGCATTGAATATAAATCACTACTGAACGTAGCAGTCAAGTGGCTACGAAAACCTTCTCTGTAGTCAAGGAGTTGCAGGTTCAAATCTCGGTCCGGAAATAGGTAAAACTGAGCTTGGTGTTTCGTGGCTTCCGCAGTATCTCCTGGCAAAATCCGGGAAAAATTCCTTAAATTGACTGACTTCTTCCTCTTTCCACATCCTTTCAAACTTTTAAATCTTCCGACGATTATGTTCATTGCGACAAGTAGTGACAGTGTTTTAAAATCTGTCCATCGTCATTCGGTAGCTGAATCTGCAGCTGTCTTCAGGTGAGGGTGGACTTTCTAGAGGAAATAATCTCACTCATCCTATTATTTGATTCTATATGGTCTGAATTTGTCTTAAATAAACCACAAACTACACCCGCAAGAGAAACCAAACTATTTGCGCCTATCTGTAATGAGTATTATGTAACAGGTGACATGTGGGGCCAGTCCTGGAGCAACATACTGGACGTTACCATTCCATACCCAGGCAAGAACTTCCTCGACGTCACCACGGAAATGGTTGAACAGGTGCGTTAAACAAGATTCGTCACTGCGGGTAATGACATAACCGGCGGCGGGTTATCGTGACATCGGAAATGTAACCTAGGGGTTCTCTGTCTGTAATTTACGTGGATTTATATTTTTATGGCTAAAGAACTCATTTTGGTTTTAGCTATACAGAGTGAGTCAAAAGTATGTTTACAAAAATAAGAAAAAAATTCCCATAAACATGTATCTTTTTCGAAATAATAGCCAAAAAATAAGTTTCAATGAACGACTTTATGTCAAAGCAAATCCAACTTCCAGCAAAGATGTTCAATTAACGTTTGGGCAGGAATTGTTGGCGACATGCTTATTGGTCCACATATGCTTCCATCGCGTCTAAGAGGACCTTCATACAAACTGATGTGACAGTCACTATCTAAAAAGACCTGGAAAATTTTAGGTTTACTTTTTTCTCATGTTGGCATTTGACAATACCTGTTCTAAATCTATAAATCTGTACGCCATTTTACGTAGGGCTATACTCCATTGACGATGTTTCGGCTAGCAGAGGAGTTCTACGTGTCGCTCAACATGAGCGTCTTGCCCCCCGAATTCTGGAGTGGTTCAATCATTCAGCAACAACCAGACAGAGTCGTGATCTGCCAGCCATCCGCCTGGGACTTCTGCAACCGACGTGACTACAGGTAGTGTGTGTAATGTGTGGTCTATTAACCGGGCTCTGGACCTTCCACTAACAATTGTTCCATATCAGACCCTTCAGTTCCATTGCCAAATCAAAAGGTTCAGCCCACAGCCTTCTACAGCATGTTCTGAGGCTATCAAAAGCTTCCTGAACTTCACAGCCTTTCGAATGAAAAACGGTTTGTTTTTATGGTAAATAATAATTAGCTATATTTCAGAAAAAAGTAAGGAACCAATCGTTTTTCTTTCTTGCCGTATATTACACACGTTTAAAACGAAATTACGTCCATTAATTTCAGTATTTAATTAATTGACAATAGTATTTCGACGAGTTGGTTTAGATGTACCAAAAATAACATTTCGTTACCACTAGTCTACTGAATATAAGACTTGAAGTTTTTGCGGCGACTGTACTCGATAAAATCTTCTCCCGCAGCAAACCGTGTTACTTGTGGATAAAAGATCAACGTTTCGGAGACCATTTCCGCCTCCATCATCAGGAAATGATATGAAGGTTAACCAACCAAAAAGATAACTGATGATGGCTGTCTTCTGGGTTGTTGGGCCGTATAATCTGGTAGAAGTTTTCCGACGTTTTAGAGGTCCCGGCTGCCCCTGAAAAGACGGCCAATTCGAAGCAACGAGTGGTCTAATATAAAATAATGATTTAAAATAAGGATTTATTAATAATATTATTATTATAATTATTATTTTCTTACTGTTGCAGAATCAAAATGTGCACGGAAGTAAACATGAAAGATTTTGTGACAGTGCATCATGAAATGGGCCACTTACAATACTTCCTGCATTATCGACATCAGCCCAAAGTGTTTCGGGACGGTGCAAACCCTGGTAAGGGAATACGAAAACTTATAATTATCACGCCAAAGAATTAATATAAATGGATTAGAATTCTGGATTGTTGTGTCTGGTACAAGTTGAGCAACATTTCAGAGTTATTTGCTGAATCCATCGACATTTGCCCGATGATGGAGACAAATAAATGAAATCAAAAATTAGTACATCCTGAAATCTGAGAGTTTAGACACGAAGTTGTCTTGTGTTCATAGGTTTCCATGAAGCAGTTGGGGAAGCTGTAGCACTGTCCATAGCAACCCCTCGACATCTTCAGGACCTAGGTCTTGTCCAGAGTTCTGTGGACGACGTGCCACACAACATAAACTCTCTATTCTCTCTGGCCCTAGACAAATTACCCTTCTTACCCTTCAGCTTAGTTATGGATGAATGGCGATGGGATATATTTGAAGGCACCATTACTTCAGATCAGTACAACTGCCACTGGTGGAGGCTCAGGTAAGAGAAGGTCCAAGGTTTGTCTTCTAAGCACAGAATTCTAGCCACCACAAACATTTTCCTTTTTAATCCCAAAGATCTGCACGTCATTATACTCACTTGAACTTATCAAGTAAGCCTACGTACTAGGTGCGATCGGAAAGTTTCAAGACTGTGTCAATAGAGGGCGAACCGGATGTAGTACGAGCTTCTGCCGCTAGGGGGTGCGGCCTACATTCATAGTGAATCAGTGTGCCAGCCGGCATCATCGAATTAGCATTTGTTTCGTAGTCATGAAATGAGATGTTATATTTAGTGTAAAAATTTCCAGTTGTTGTGACAAACTCTTGTCCGGATTGAAGTGATCGACCTGACAGGACACAACAGTAAATTGATCAAACTGGTTTTACCTTGTTAATTGAATGAATGACCGAGTGAGATTACACAGTCGTACCAACTCTTGACTTGAATTCGGGAGTTTCCCGTTAGAATTTCGGGTGAACCCGCTCGACCACACGTCACAGTAAACCTTTGTGACTGAAGAACGATCTCCAACACACACTCCAGCCATTTATTTTTGTAACAACGCAGTTAAAACCAAGTGAGTAATCCGACGGAATAGAAAATCTTATAGTCGTTTAGCAGGTCAATAGATTCAGCTTTTTCTATGCAACTCGAAAGTTCATTATCGCGTCATACCGTCACATATTACGAGGTGCGATCGGAAAGTTTCAAGACTGTCTCAATAGCGGGCGAACCGTTACATGACAGTAAATCATATTCATTAATAACGATGGGTCGATTTCAATATACGGACTGGTCGATACCGAAACGATAGTTCGATATTGACATATCGTCACATCGACAGACATTCCCAACCAATTTGTCCTAGGCTAGGATAGGCTACGTTAAGCTACGGTAGATTGGGTTAAGTTGGATCAAGCTTCTAGCAAAGACGACCATGTGCAGCGGTCAGTTAAGGGGAGATTTTATTGAGTTAGGTTCGATTAGGTTAGGTTAGTTTAGTGACGAACATAAGCAGAAGATATCGAATTATAGACGCAACGAAAAAGTCAAATCGAATAGTACATATATTGCATCAACCGTTTGATTTAACGATATCGAAATTCGGTAAATCGAAATCGATGAGACGATATACCGAAAACTACAAGCTGATATCTCTCAATCGAACAGACGTTACATTGAAAACAACCACTCGATATATCGATTTCTAACAGTCTATATATCACAATCGAACCAGATGACATATCGATGTGTGCTACAATACAAGCAACTCTTCCGCCCTATGATAGAGCACGCATGCCCGATCTGGAGGTCAGCTGCCAGCAGCCACGTCAGGAAGCTGCTAGTGTTGCAATCCAAGTGTCTTCGTATTGCGACTAACGCGCCTTGGTACGTTAGTAACAGGCAAAGTCACGAGGATTTGGGGATCTCGCTCTTCGCCGACCACATCAGAGCACAGACTGAGAGCTTCGACTCAAAGTTGGCTGGTGTGGGGAACTCGGGATGAAGTTGAGCCGATCGAGGGCTGTCAGAGGTCACCCAAGGGCAACCGAGGGGGACTGATGTTCAGCAGGCCAGCGGAGGCTGTCCCCAAAAGATGGCCAAGTCGGCGCAACGAGTGGTCAGAACACTCGACTACCCTGACTGAGGTTTTCCGTGCTCTTCCTCAGTTGTAAGGCGAATGACAGGGTATAATTCAAAAGGGGCACGGCCCGCCATCCCTAATTACGGAGGCATTCGGCCAAAGCGACCCCACCCCGTCAGGGTTCAAATCCGAGGGAACAATCGAACAAAAATACTTTTCACGGAGGACAAGTTGCCTGACGTGATAAATTATCATCAGCAGCAACTGACCTTAGTTTGAATGGTCGAGGCTCCCGCCACGACAAAACCCACGTTAGCTTAAGGAAATTCCCGTTTTGGTTATAAGGCTCTGTTTTACAATTTCCAGCAATGCGTTTCGTACGCAGGAATGGTGTTACCTGGCAAGGGACGATGTCTTGCGTTTGCGCAGGACTCCGCCCTCAGTTAGCTTTTTGTTTTGTTTGGTTGGTAGGTATATCGATGTAAGCCAACAGAACATAATTCGACCATTTCTACGCCCTTAGCAATTGATCACCTGTTCCAACCGCACAACATAAAGTATTAACAGTGCCGTTAATAGATGGCAGTCGAGTTGCAATATGTTCGTTATTTCTTCTGTGCATGTAAGAAACCCGGATGAAAAAATACCACAAACGCTGTAATCAAAATATATACAAATAATCGTGTTCCAATGTTTTCAGAGAGAAGTTTTCTGGTATAAAGCCGCCAGTCTTGAGGTCAGAAATAGATTTCGATGCCGGATCGAAGTACCACATCGCAGCCAATGTACCCTACATTCGGTGAGTATTTTAATTTGATTACTGCCTTTAAGTTTAATGCATTCACTGCTGGACGTTTAAATTTCAGCACGAACTCGTCAGGTTTTGTAGACTAGCTAGATATCACAGAGAAATTTTACTGGAAAACTAAATAGTTGTCAAACCTGTTATTAAAATGCGTACGTATTTTATTAATATAACATTTTTTTTCTCTGACCTCTGAAGGTTTTGTGTCAATGTGAGCAAATATATTAAAGATAATACAAAATAGACGTAATAATTATTGATGATAATGAAGGGTCCTCATAAGGGAGATAATTGTGTCTTTGGCAGTGAATGTGTTAATTAAGCTATCTGGTTCATTATGAAAATGTCTGCTTTGAAATGTAGTTTGTAGTTTTGTTTGCTTGTTTTATTTATGTACAATGTTTTTATGTAAGGTTATACTTGGGCATTATCATCACTCAAGTCAAAGGTATAAATTCATAGACCATCGTCTTTAAACGAACGTGGAGAACCACGTATTGGGAAATTGATTTATTTTGAGCAAGCTATTTTCTTATTTGTAAGTAAAATCTCATCCACGAATTCATACATAGACGTATTTGTCAGCAAAAATAGATAATACATACCGTCATTTTTTGTTATGTAATTCGCTGTAATGACTTGTTAAGTGGAGACAAACAGATGTTTGAGAGGAAATGCGTACGCATCACTTGAAATCTTGACAGGCAGAAAGAGGGAACAAAAAAGATCACAATGGGGTAATGAAAATGGCAAATTAATTGAAAAAGCAATTCATCACTGTCAGAAAATGGAGTTAGAAATTCTCGTATTTTGTATCTCTAAAATTATATCAGTAAAAGTGAGTAGTGTGGTTTGAACACTATATGATGTAATTGATTTGAAAATGTTTCAAAAGTATCTGAGAATGTAGCTACCAAATATGTTTAGAATTCCTGATAAAATTTGTCGAATATATA